GGCCTGGCCCTAACTGTTTCTGTTTCTTCCTGCTGCTTGAGTGCCTTCCTCGGTGCTCTGTACTTTTCTTCCTGTACACATTGAATCTTAAAAAATGAAAACTGACCCACAGGGATATTTAGAAACAACATTCTCAAACTGAGTTTTTAAAAGTAAGGAAAATCTTTCCAGACAAAAAGTGAAATAAGGAGATAAAAGAAAAATAGAAAGTAAACACTGTTTTCACCTAGATCCAAAATTAGTTTATCTTTTTTTTTTTTTTTTTTTGCCTTTTTGAGACGAAGTTTCACTGTGCAGTTCAAATTGACCTTGAGCTCACTTTGTAGCCAGGCTGGCCTTGAACTCATAGCAGAGCCTCTTGCCTCAGCCTTCCATGTGCTGGGATGAGGGTGTGTGCCACCACATCTGGCTATTTTATCTAATTTTGCTGAAATTTCTCCTCCACTCCTCACTCTCTCTCACTTTATGTCATGCTAACTTTTGCTCATATTCTCTCTCTGTCTGACTTGTCTCTGTCGCTTCTCCTCTCTGACTCTTTCTCTATCTCTTTCTTATCTATTTCTCTTTCTCAGATTTCTCCTCTACTTCTTTATTGCTATAATCTGCAGTTTTACCAAAAAACTATTATCTATTTAATTCCTGATAAAGAATCAGGTACGGGACATATAAAAGGTCAAGTACACATTTTTCGCTTTCACATAGGTAACACTGGCAGCAAATCCACTGCTTTATATATCATCCTCCTCACCGTTTTGTAATAATCACAGTTTCCAACAGCACTTGAAAAATGCCAAGGAAAACTGGTGAAAAGTATCAGTGGAGATATCTGAAGCAACAGCAACAACAAAACAAAACAACCTCAGAGAGAAGATACGGCTTGCACAGAGCACTCGTGGCCTTGAAGAACTATGGGGGAACTGGATGTGAAAACACCTTCTTCTTGGTCTCTTTTTAATCAGTCGGAAAAAAAATGAAATATTCCTGCCTAACTCCTTCCCAGCTTTCAAGTTATTAGTGCACTGACAAGAAGACTAAAATTTATACTAAAGGCAATGAGGAAGCTAATGCAGTATCACACATGAAAAGAATACAGCCAGCAAGGATGGTGATAGCAATGGAGACAGAGAAAGGGAAAAAAGTTTTGAGAGATTACTGTGTGTATGTGTGTGTGTATAAAAGAGCTTAAGTATATATTAAATGATATATAGTGATATATGCTTATATATATATGTTATATATATATATGATATCAGATTTGTGTCTCCACCATTTTAAGTGCTATTCTGTCATGAAGAAGGATAGACTTCAGGTATTTCCAAGTAAATGAATGCCCCTTGAAAACCTAATTTTCAGTGAAATAATGAGACACATATATTTAAATATTGCATTGTTTCTCTTGTGTGGGAAAACCAAAGGGTAAAGAACCAAACTGCAGTATAGATATTTGGAATTAGGAAGAAAATGTTCAAATGGGAAGGACAATTAAGGGAGTGGGGAAGGAAAAGAAGAGGAGTAAAAAAAAAAAGAATGAAAGAGAAACAAAATTTTATAAGTAAGGTAAATAAATATTTTATAAGGAAGGTAAATAAATATTAAAGGGAAGGAAAGAGAATGGAAAAAGATAATTAAGATGTATTACATAGAGATACAACTTCTCTATGATGAGTGTGATCATCGTGTATGTAAAAAATGTACCAAGAAAATTAATTTTTAAAAAAAGAAGTAAAATTTCAGGGCCATATGCAATGGCGTGTGCCTATAATTTTAACTATTGGGGAGCATAAAGCAGAAATATCACTTGGCTTATGTCAATATAATAAAAAGGTTCAAGAATATAGCTTGGTGGTAGAGCACTCCCAGGCTCAATCATCAGTACCACAAAAAATATTTACAAATAACAGAATTTCAGGAATTGAGAAGCATGTAAATGTTAGTACTTAGTCAGTGAGACAGATTTCACGTTTCTGAGGGGTTAATTTGGAGATGGGCAATTCAGAATATCAACACATAGCAGGTAATGCTGGTCAACCAAGACCAGTGGTGGCAAACCTGTGGCACATGTGTCACATTGGGCTGTTTGTTCAATTGAAAGCCCTAAAAGGTTTACCACCACTGACCAGAGTGATGAAAAACAAATGAACAAACTTGACCAAGGATGGACATTCCTAGCATCCCATCTAAAGGGGAGGTAAATTTGGAGAACCAGCAGATAGGTCAATAATAAAGATGCATAAGAAGATAATAATAAGGTCAGACATACATAGTTTAAATGCATACACTTATATGAAAGTATGTGTATGAACACTATAAAAACATTTATCTTCCTACACTACCTATTTGCCATGAATGAAAAGCTACCAAATAGACTAGAGAAAGTACCTCATTCAAGTTAACTACCCTGTTCCCATGCTTAATTATGTAGAGCTTAAAAGGAAAAAGAAATACAGATTTGTGTCTCTGCCTTATCTTTCCCCTAACCAAATGCATTTCCAATTCAAGCAATAATAAAAATCACAGAAAAGTTTTTAGCAGGAAAATACTTTTTAAAACTCAGTAAGTAATCATGCTCACATCCAAGAATCTTTCAAATTGTATTTAGCACTTAATAGGACAGCTGATCAAAGTCAGTAATAGTTTGCATTGACTCTCTATGATAATCTGTAAAGCATGGATCATGTTGTAACAAGAAATTTTTTAAATGTAGGTGGAAAAATGAGGAATTATCTCCAGGAAATGAGTGCTGTTATGACTCATAATATAACTCATAGCAAACTTTAAATGTAATAATTCGAAATGTTCTTAACCGTTATCCTATTAAAAGGGAGATTTGCCTGTCATTACATCGCCAGAAAAGCCAGAAAATGCGCGCCACCAAAATACACATCATTGTCTCCTAATTATTTGGAAATTTTAGACAAAAGTTTAGTTTTCATTGGGCATAGCTAAGACAAGCAGTGGGAAGGAGAGGAGAGGAGAAAGTTTCGTGTAGAAGTGAATCAATGATTGTTTTTGCCCTGGTAAAATCTTAACTTTGGCTTTGTCCAGACCCTAGTTTTAGAGATTAAATAAAACATCTGAGTGGGCACATAGTCACTTACGCATATCTCTTCTCTATTTGACTCTATTTCTTTATTCTAAAGTATACACTATAAGTTTGTTCCTTTAAAGTTTTCTGAAAACACTATTTAGTTTTCTGAAAACACTATTTTCTGAAAACACTAACCTCATTTTAACACATAAATATAAAACACAGAATTCAATCCATGTATTAAAATATGTATAATTTGAAAAATACACGACTTTCAAAATTATACATCAAATCACAAAATGTCTTCTGGTATGTAAAAAAATGCTAAACAACATTTGCAGATACAAATGATTATATTAGTATATATTTTTTCAAAATTCAAGCGTATATTCAAGAAGACTAGCAATACATTTTAGAAATACGTTTACTATCAATGTTAATGTGAACAATAGAGGTAAATGATCTTTTAAAATAAATCTGTATTATCTATCCACTTACATATAGTATACATTGTTTAGCAAATGAATTTAAATATTTCTAGATTCTACTGTACTTTTGTTTAGATTATGAATTCACGGATTTTTCATATGGTAAAAAATTTACTAGGTTGATTTGAAATTTTAACAGTGATTTGCTTTGTGAGTTATAAAAATTTTAATACTTATTAATTTTAATTTTAAAATTACACCTTTAATGTAAAATCTTTAATGGAAATTTGCTGGTTTATGAAAATACATACATATCATCTTATTAAAAGTATTACTTATAATTTGCTTTTAATTTTGATAGTGATAATTTGATGAAAATTTTTCACATTACAAAAATTCTATACCTATATAGACTTTTAAAAATCCAGCTTTACAATGAAAAAAAAACACCATAGCCAAAAGTTTACACTTACAGAGTATTTTTTCTACTCTCATATATTTCCCAAATATAAACTGACAATGTATCTGTCACACTCGAGAAGTAGTTACCGCCTTGTCGTTCACAGATTTAAAAAAATAATTTTGGAATGCCTACAGAGATTCCATTGTCAATGTCTTTTAAACAATGAAGTAAAACAGGTTTTGTATTCTCCATCATAAAAAAATTAATTTTTTTATTTATTAGTAACATTTAATAATCAACCAAATGTATTTATGACCCAAACTGAAACTATTCAAGAAACATCTACTAAGTATACAAGCATATGCAGATCTCAAACTTGAAGAGGTAGGAGAGCTCAAATCCATTACATTTTTTTCTGTAAAACATAATATTTGCATGAGTCTAAAGAATTTAAATATTTCTGTCTCCTCATGGCTGTGATCTTTACTCATCACCCAGAAGAGCGATGGACACATCAGAAAGTCCAAAGCAAGAGCTCACTAAAACTAGAAGGGAACAAAAACTTGACTGAAAATACATTCTGTGATAAGAATAGACAGAAAGTTAATATTTTATTAAATACTTAAGTATATTTTAACTATTATAGACCTAATATTTAGTGAAATATTTTAATAGTAATCAAAATTGGAGGAAACAAACTGCTGTTCTAAAAAGAGGCAGTGCCGTACATGCAATCAAAGCCATCTTGTGACTTTTAAATAGGATTTACTGTTGTTGTTAAAAGCATAAAAACTAATTTATTTAGCCATTAAGAACTCCTCAGACTTCCTTAAGCCACCCTTCACATCGTTTTGGGGGTGAAGCAACAACGTTGCTTTTGTAATATCCTTAAACAGTTTGTAAACAGAGATACAGACAGTAGCTTTCTTTTAAATTGTGATTTTTCTTTCAATGCATTTTTAAACAGAAACAAGGTATGCTGTCACACAACGACCTTTGTCTCCCTGCACGACACTGACCATTTGCCGACAGCCTCATCACTTTCAGTTACCAACACACGACACAGCACTGATGTCTACTTCAAACCGCTACTATGCCAAAAGAGAAAAAAATAAGGAAAAAGTAATATTCTTGGTCTTACCTGTAACAAATATATTTGTATCCAGGAAAGCAAAGGCAAGGGCCAAAAGTTTAAGCCACAAGTACATGGTCATATCTGGAAATCAGCCGTATCCCTGAGAACCAGCATGCGTCCTCCTAAAAGGCAAAATACTGGTTATCTCTCTGAAGGTTTTTCTCTGCAAAACTAAATCAAAAATAAAATAAATGAATTCATACTCTTCACTGTTGTCTTATCAGAAGGGGAACAATTTCCTCCTCTGCTACCCTAAGAACAAACCACTTGCTAGCTACACAAACTGCTAGGTGGTGATGTCAGATTCGGTTTTACTAACTTCTCCAAAAATACTGTAAAGGAACCTCTTTGCAGGAAGTTTAAAAAAAAGTTTAAATTTACTGCAATAGTATCTTACTTCCTTAATTCAATTAATTACACTGTTAGTAGATTTTTTAAGACTCCTCCCCACAGGAAATGTTTTTAAGCTATCCAAATAATATTTCTTTACAGTATCCACTATGTGTTTTAAACTACATTATCTCTCAATTAAAGATTTTCTTACCTAAGAAATGATAAAACAGATTCAACATGGGTGTAACAAAATGGGAATTGGCAAAATGATACAATAACAATAAGTAAAGATATAGATTAGATTTATTTCATCTTCACCATGTGAAGGAATAAACTTCTTATCTACTTATTTGGGTTACAAGATGCAAGATACAAGAATCATTTACTATAGGCTATGCAAAGCTCTGTAACAGATAGCCTTCGAATTTAAACTCATTTCCTATGCAAAGGCATCTCAGAGGGCTTGACAGTTTCCCCTGAATCTTGTGTAGATATCCTATGAGACTAGGAATAGATTCAGAATACTGTTTCTGCCACTGCAAATCCTGTTTCCACAAATGAATGCCTCTGTGATTTAGGACATTCTCCATGCTATTGATCATAGAAAGAAAGGATAATGAAAACAAACTGTTACATTTTATAAAATTTAGCCATTTTTCTCTTTGTTACAATACTTTTTCAACCTTTTGGATAAATCAAAAATTAATATACATTATTCTTTGTGTTCTAATGGTGTTCTTACTAAGCCCATCAATTCAGAAGGTGCTTACTCGTAAAAAAATGTTAATATAAATTCAGCACTACAATTAAATGAATTAATAATATCATAATATATGTATGTATTTAAAAACAAAAGTACATACACATACAACTTTCATTTGAACTATCGATGATGCTTGGGGTCTTTGTAGGTAGATAAATCCCTTGTAGTAGTATCTCTGCAATTCCATGTTAGGAATTATTACAGAGTTCTTGTAATTATGTAAATAATAATTTTTTGATGCTTACAGACACTTTTGTTTTACTCTTACTTTGATTGGTAGGAACCACAGTCAAATTTACACCTGCCTTTGTACAAATACAAATATCCTCAAAGGTTAAACTCTGGATAATAACATTTTAACAAGATTTTATTTATGATTACATTTTCATTTTGATTATCATTATCCTTCTGGGACTTAGCATGTTCAACAATAGAGCTCATATATAATATATTATATAGACCATATATATTATATATTATATATTATATATAGCTTATATAATACTATTGAGCTACATGATACTATTTTCCATTTTATCTATGCTATTCAGAGAAAGATTAGGTAGTTTTCCTAAGGTCTCACACATAATAGGAAATAAGCAATTTATGATTTGAACCTGATTCTCCAAATTTCATTTTACTTTCTTTACTTATCTTACTATTCTCTTTCTTCTCATTTTTTTCTCCAGTCTGTTTTATGTGTTTTTATTACTGTTATCTCTAAAAGATAGACCATTAAGTTCAGGAAAAATGATTCCCATTTTCAAAGAATTTTTAAATAAGCTTTGAAAGTGAGCACTGATTTTCATAGAAGGAGACCTAATGAAAATGGGTGTCGGAACATGTGAATTTGAGTACTCATCTCTTCATCCTATTCTTGAAATGCACGTACAATGGAAAACTCTTCAGGAATTATCACCGAATGCATTTAATAAGCATTGTGTTTTGTTTGCTTATGATTATGACAGGATATTTGACAAAACTAGAGACCAGGAGTAAAGCAGATGGCATGCAGTCTTTCAAAAGGGAAAAGGATGTGTAAAATTCACTCCATTAAAATGTAGGTTTAGCAGCCTTAAAGACGTCAGAAAAGGGCGGTGCAAGTTGTGACTTCAAAAAATTGCGAAAAGCTGAGCATTTCAATCTTATTCTGAGTAGGTGAGTAGAAAGACTAATTTGTAACAAATCAGTTGTTACATGTTTTGCTTTCATTTGTTATAACTGAATTTAGTGCATACATGAAATAATACAACTTTAGGTAGCAAAAGCATATGAAAAACAGAACGATATATGACGACAACAGTGAAAGAATTGTAATAGCTACAAATAAAGACTATGGCACGCCAAAGCTTTGATGTCAGAGGGACCCAGATGAGAAAATCTTGGGCCTGTCTCTCTCTCTCTCTCTCTCTCTCTCTCTCTCTCTCTCTCTCTCTCTCTCTCTCTCTCTCTCTCTTTTCTCTGCCTCTCAATTCTCTCTCTAACGGCAGATTGGAGCCAGTGCCTTTTCAATGAGTTATATCCCTTTATCATCCACTTTTTATTTTTCATCTTAAACAGGGCCTTGCTAAGTCACTAACTTGCCAAGGTGTGGCTTGGACTTGTGATCCTCATGCCTCAGCGTCCCAGGGTGCTGGGATTACAAGTGTGCATCACCACAAGCAAACCTCTTTACTTTATCACACCTGGGTCTGCTATGTGACACATTAGTGTGATGAAGTGGAAAACTTTAAAAGAAAATAGAAGCACTGGTCAAGAGTGGGCAATGACTTTGGTGACACTGTTTCAAGGTAAAATGAACATGGCTGGAGACACAGTTCTGTGATAGAACTCAAGGTTCTGTGTTCAATCTCCAGTAGCAGGAAAAAAGAAAACAGGTGTGTTTGTAACGTACTATGGGATCCACTACTACTAAATCCAAGAGAGAGCCCGGGCACCCTACTGATATACAATGTGACTGAAAAATACAGTAAGTGTTTTAATTTTTTTAAATGTATTATAATGAAAGTATATTGACATTAATTCCCTTCAAAACAGTGTCCTTCACTCTGGACACTTTTGTCCCATCATTCTTGCTACTTTCTGAAGCAGTTCTTGAGTCCTCTTTTGAGTTTGTATTTCTGCTATTGTGGCCACCTCAATGCCCTGAACTGATTCAAAATGGTAACCCCAAAGTTATGCTGTGAAAGAAGCATTGAACAAGGTGGATACAGAGACACTGAAACCTTTTTACAAGCCTGTTTTTCTGCTGGATGACCCTCAGAAGCATTCCCTACATTTTTTTATCACTTCTCATAAAGAAATAAAGGAAGATTTCCAGAGCTGCTTCGTGATGAGAACACTGTTCTCCTAAGTGCATTCAAAGTGTGGAGGAATGTTTTGAGGGGAATGAATACTATGTCTTTTACCGTAGTGAAATTTCTTGTTTGAACATCACCATGAGTTTTGATCACAACCTCTAAGGGGGTATTTTGTCAAAACAGACTAAGAAAAAGTCAGGACATAACAGCAGAAATTGTAGGCAATACAGAGAATACTTTAGAGTTACTGAAATTCTATGTATTTGCAACAATCTTAAAGTTTAATCAACAAAATTTCAAAGTAATTATAATTGACTGCTTTACATTCTGTAAATTTTTACATAAAGTGCATATAAAGACAAACAGATTACGTGAGGCTAACTGTAGAAGCAGACGTTATGCCTTCTTTTTTACCTTCTCCCCACTCCTTTCCTTCTTTCCTTCCTTGCTTCCTTCAGTAAATACAGAGCAAGTTCCTTATATAATAAAATCATTTTTCTTGACATGGGGGAAAATGGTGAGCAAAACTATTCTCTGTCTTATCTATACTGTATTGGCTGCATAATCATGGGTTATCTAATCATCATGAACAGGTTTAGCACAGGGGAAGTATTTGACAGTCTGACTTAAGAAAATACGGAGTATTAGTCAAGTCCTGTGATGGACAAGTTTGCCTAAAATGAAACATGCTGAAGACAGACCTAAAAAATCAATGGTAGTTAACTGGTGTGGGGAGAAATGGAAACAGAAATAACAATATATGTCGAGGAGGAGCAACCAAGAGTTAGAATGAGATATATGCAGCTGGTGTGAAGAACGGAAGACCCTGGAAAATGGAGATGCTAGAGAGGAAGATGACAGCCAAAGCTTGCCGTGCCTGCTAGGTTCTAAGGATTCACCTTAATCCTGAGATCTGTGTGACCTATCGAAGCATCACATGCATCAATCTTGCATCTCCTCGCCAGTGATCTCCACATTGGCAGCCATATATCATCGCTCTTCCTGTCCTCATGTGATTGCTCAGAGGCATTAAATACGTCAGACTTCCTTTCTTCATCTCCAGATTTTTCTTAACACTGACTGGCATTTCCTCAGGAGCTACCATGTTGCGTCTTATTCCTCTGCCTGACTTTACATACTGCTAAAATAGATTAAAAACTCAGTCCTCAACCCACTTTTTCCTTTCTGAGTGACTCCCTCATGCTGACTCATCAACTCATATCTTTAGGCAGATCTAAATTTTAGCCCTGTAGGTATATTTTGTTACTGTGATCATGACAGTCTGCTGGTTGCCTTAAAACCAACACAACAGAAGGCAGAAGTCCTGACTCACCCCCTTTTTAACTTACCTCAGCTCTCCAAATCACCTCTATAAGTGCACCAATATATTCACAGTAACTTTTCCAGAAATCTAAGTTACATATTCTGTTTCTCCATTTCCTTTACAACTATACACAATTCATTAGCAAGTCCCATTTATTTTATTTCTGACATCTGAATTGGGCTCCCCTTCCAAAGTATTATGGAAGACCAAGCCACATTGCTGCTGAAACTTTTCCATCCTGTCCCCTTTCAATAATTCCTCCAAAAAGTAATCAAGTTGATCTTCTGTCAACACAAATCAGGTCAACATAAGTCATTATTTAAGCACTATCAATGTGTCTCTATTTCTCAACTGAACAAAATCCACCTTCCCTGTACGTTACTCAAGCCATTCGATGCCTTATTCCAGATGTCCACACTGCTCTGGACGTGCTGCTCTATTTCTGGTCTCGAAATGCCAAACTCTTTCCCATTCAGGGTCTTTACCCTTCATTCTGCCCATGACTCTCTGTCCCTGCCATCTGCTTTGAACTTAACTCAGTAAGGCCAACACTTCAATGCCACTTTCTCAGTGACATTTCTCTGACTACCCCACATAAAAGACATCCTGCATGTTATTGTGTACTTCTGGACCTTGTTTCT